TTAAGGAGATCGTGCATCCCCTTTAGCCAACTATAATACTCCTCCAAACTCTTGTTTCCCTGCTGAATAGTAAAGAGCTCCTCATATGCATCAAATACTCGTGAAGCATTTTGTTTCATAAAATAAGTGTCCCGAATAGCTCCTCAGATCTCTTTAGCAGTATCTAGAAAATTAAAATGAGTGGATATGTGTGGCTCCATACTCCCCCAAAGTCAAGTCATAACAGTCGAGTTGTCGCGTTCCCAGTCTTCCTTAATCTTCTCAACAGAGATTTTCTCAGCATCCTTGTCAGTAGCAGTAGTAGAGGTAGCAACAGAAAGATCGGGTTTAGAGAACAGGATCAACTTTAACTTTTCCTTAGAACTCAGATAAACATAAACTAATTTCTCCTATATCAAATAGTTCTTTCCATTAAGTTTAGTGATGGTGATCTGCAAGTGATCACGATCCTCCTTAATAGTAGCCATAAGTAGTAGTTGGGATGTAAAAAGAAAAGGATAAATAATAATAGTAGTGTCAAAAAAAACTTTGTTGCATAAAAGAAATTATTTCAACTCACAACAATCATGATCATTGTCGAAGAGGATGAAGAGCAGGGGGTCTGGAAGTACTCAGCAGTGTTTTAAATATCGGCGATATATCGGGTATTATCGGCGATATATCGGATTTTTGGGCTGGCCGCGAGGATAACGTGAAATTGTAATCGGTTATCGTTTTTGGCACATTATCGGCGATAAACCGCCGATAAAGGAGATTATCGCCCGATAACTCTGTGATTTTTATCGGGTTTATCGGCTAAGAGCAGCACTGGGTTTTTGAGTTTGAGATGTGAAACCCGACCCGACCCGACTTCGCAATGAAAAGAAAAGGTAAGCCCTAACCACGACTTCGTCTCTGAAAACCCAAGACTTCCTCTCTGGCGGCTGTTCTTCCCCTCTCGCCTTCGTCAATCTCCACTCTCCAGTGAGCAGCGACTTCGTGAATCTCCAGCGAGCAGCCAACCACGACTTCGTGAATCTCCAGCGAGCAGCGAGTCAGCGACTTCGTGAATCTCCAGCGAGCAGCGACTTCGTGAATCCTCCTCTCTCGCGTCGACTTCGTGAATCTCCGGCGAACCCTAAACTGCCTCTCTCGCCTTCGCGAATTCCAGAGAACCTCGCCTCTTCACGCTCGCCTCGACTTCGAACAGGTATCATTCATCTCTTCTCACCTTCGAAGTTCATTTTCGTTCACTTCTGGCCTTCGTCTCTCTCTCTGCTGCTGTTTCCTAAGTTTAATTTTGTCGTTCTCTTCTAGCCTTCGTCTCTGGCTGTGGTTTTCTATTTTTTAAGTTGATTTTTGATTTGAACAGATATTATCTACTTGTGAGGACTGACTGACTGTTGACTGTTGAATTATCTACTCAAATAGGAATTTTTTTTCTTTTTAATCTTATAGAATTTCTGTTGTGAGACTTCTCAGACTTGTATTACTGATTTACTGGGATTAATTGTGGAGACTGCAAATCTGTAATTAATTGTTGTGGGATTAATTGTTGTGAGACTGTAAATCTATAATTAATTGTTGTGAGATTGTAATCTGTTGTGAGACTTATTGTTTATAGAAAATATCTCTTAATTAATTTTAAGAAATTACTTTATAAGCAAATTTAATTGTAATTTCAATTAATTTTGAGCAATTGGTTTTTACTTGAGCAATTAATTTTGAGTATTGTTGTGAGACTTATTCTGTTGTGAGACTTGTTTGTTGTTTATAGAATAATTGCAATTAATTTTAAGAAAATACTTGTGAGACTGTATAAGAAAATTTAGTTGTAATTACAATTAATTTACAACTTAAATAAATATACAACTTGGATTTGCAAATAGTTTACAATTGCTATTTTAAGTTGTCTTCCTCAGTTGCTTACTTCATTCCTTAAAATCTTGATGTCATTTTGATCTCAAGTCTGCAACAAAATAGAACAAGTCAGTGTTAGGCATAAAATTTTATGACGTGGTGAAATAAATAAAATAAATATACAATTGTGTAATTGTGTTGCTATTTTATTTTCAAACTTGTGTTTATGGTTTACTATCTCATGTTGACAGGAGAATGTCTTCTGAAGGCCAAGCATCTAATAAACCACCAAAGCCAGCCGGTAAAGATTCTTGTTGGGCATATGCTGAGCGGGTTGGTAATGATGCTTTAAAGGTTCGGTGCAAGTTTTGTGGGCAGTCTATGTGTGGAGGCATAAGCCGGTTCAAACAACACTTGGCTGGAATCAAAGGGAATTGTTTGCCGTGTGAGAAGGTCCCCGAAGATGTGAAGAAAAAAGTAAATGAAATCATTGATAGTGCCAAGAAGAATAAGGGTGCAAAGGAGTTGAAAATGCAGAATTTACTCGATGACGTTCATATAGGGGAGGAAGAGGGATATGAAGGGAGTGTGACCGCATCTACTCAGAGTCAGAGAAGCTCATCATCCTCCTCCTTCAAGACGAAAGGGCCAATGGACGCTTTTGCGAGCCGCTCTCATGAGGAGTCGGCTGAACTAGTATTAAAAATGAAACAACCAGTGATGGACAACAAGTATAGGAAGAAGGCAAGAGATGATGTGAACAGGTACATTGGGAGATGGTTCTATGAAGCCGGCATCCCTTTTAATACCGCAAGTATTCCTTCTTTCATACAAATGGTGCAGGCTATTGGAAAGTTTGGAGCCTTCTTGGATGCTCCGACACCATATGAATTGAGGGAGACTATTCTGCAGAGAGAGGTGGATGAGACAAGGGAGATCATTGAAAAATTTAAGAAGAGTTGCGCACTTAACGGGTGCTCCATACTGCTTGGAGTGATAGGAAAATGAGAAGTATTATGAATATAGTTGTGCATTCAGATGGAGGAACAACATTTTTGGGTTCATGTGATGCATCGGACGACAAGCATAATGCGAATTATATATGCAACTATGTGGAGAAAGCAATTGAAGAGTTGGGGGCACAGAATGTTGTGCAAATTGTCACAGATGGAGCTTCAAATAACATGGCAGCCGCAAAAAGCTTAGCAATTAAGAAGCCAAATATATTTTGGACAACTTGTGCGGCACACACTATTAATTTGATGTTAGCCGATATAGCCAAAATAAGACCTATTCGGAGTGCAATTGCAATGGGAAGAACTGTATCGGTGTACATCTATAGCCACACGAGATCTCTTCATGTGATGAGAGAATTTGCACGGGGGGACCTTGTTAGACCCGGGGTGACACGATTTGCCACAGCTTTCCTTGCTTTGGAATCATTGAGAGATAAAAAGAAAGTGTTGAAGCAAATGTTTGTCTCTAATGAATGGATGGAATGCGAGCTTGAGGGAATGGATAATATTCCAACATTTAGCTCCGATGAAGATTAATTTAGTTATCTTTGCTTTTGCAGCTTTGCTTTCTTTTGGATTTGCTATTTGAATGTTTAGAATTATGAACTATTTGTTGTTTTTGGAACTTGGGTGATTGTTGATTAGCTTTTGTTCATGATGTTATCTTATCCTTTGCTTGTTTGTTATTACATTTTGACTAACATTATACATGCCTAGATGGTTCTTTATTCGTGATGTTATCTTATCCTTTGCTTGTTTATTATTCCATTTTGACTAACATTATATTTTTTTTTCAAGGCTATGCAATTGAATGGTTTCATCGTGCGGTCGAGATGCAAGTTTCTCTTTCAACAATTGGTTAGTGATTCTAAACATGGTTATTTACATTTTGGTATGTTTATATTTTATTAAGCATGGTTAGATTACATTTTTAGTTATTATATTATATATATACATCATCCACTATATCACTCCGATAAATACTACTTATCCCCGATATATCCCCGATTTCCGCTATCCGATAAGGATTTTGACCGTCCGATAAATCCCCGATAACCGATATTTAAAACCTTGGTACTCAGGCATCAACATGATAGCAAGGGTCTAGGAGTACGTCGTTGATGGAGTAGCGATGATTAGATCTGAATTATCATCATGATCTATGCGATGTCGTCAAGATTCTGTGATGTGGAGGTGATTAACTGTAGAAGAGATGAAGACCTAGACGAGACAATACCGAGGCACTATTCACGCAATGAACAGTATCAATGTTACTGTTCATGTGATGAACGAATATCGAGCCTATTGTTCACGTGATGAACAGTTCAGGGTGAGAGAGGTTAGGAGTTGATTGGGGTTAAGCTTGGAGAGATGGATGAGGACAATTTAAGAAGGAGAGATAGAAATTAGGATTTGAGATGAAAATTAGGGTTTGAGGAGAAATTAGGGTTTGAGATGGCAATTAGGGTTTGAGGATTAGGATCTGAGCAGGGGATTAGGGTTTCAGGAGGGAATTAGAAAGTTAGGATTTTCATAACATGCTCTGATACCATGTTCTTGTGGAAAAAGTGACTTGATCCCCATCGTGGATCAGTCCTCTTTATTATATAGATAGATAAATAGTTTAAGATTACAAGCGTACTCGATGTGAGACTAAAGCACTTAATAAAGAAAATAGATACTAAAAGTACTCTCTACTCTAATAGTCTAATTACTCATGGAGGATTACAACTTTATTTATAGAGAAAAACTAAACCTAAAAAGCAAATCAAATCCTAACCAAATCCTAATAAAAAGAAAGCAAAAATAAAATCTCTAACAAAATAAATCTCAAAGATCCTAACAAACCTAAATCTAATCCTAAGGAGATCTTTACCTGAAATTGGAGATTACATTAAATATTACAAAAATAACAAAGATACCAATAAATCTCAAAAATTCTTGATCAACAGCTAACAATCGTCCTGCATCATATAGGTTTTAGTATCTTAGGGTATATTATTTATACCCTCAACCCTCATTACACCTTTAGAATTTTGATATAGGATGAGATAACACTAGACAAGTATTTCAATGTAATGTGCTAGTACTGTAGATGATTGTGCATTAAAAATTGACTCAAAGAAATTATGGTAGAGCACAGACCAAATCCAGGGCCACTACTTGCCAGGTATGGCAATCGATATACATCAGCCTTTTCAGTCTTCAACACATATCTGCCAAAAGAGCAGGTAAACAGTTCAGCAGATATTTAAAGGAGTAAAAAATAAAACTTAGTTGAATGTTCAAAAATCTGTAACATTAAATCATACTAATATTTGTCTGGTGGAGAAGTTCAGGCACACACTTCCAGCAGAAATTTAATGAACAAAAACAACAAAGGAACAAAGCCTTCATCCAGAATTTTAAGGGTCAGACAGAAATCTAATGAGATAACCCAAAAATTGAACATTAAGCATCCAATATCATAAATATTATCTGTTTGATAAAAAAGCTGATGAACTTTTTTCCAAAATAAATATCACAAGTTGAGGAATACATCCATTCAGTTTTAACTGGTTTGTTATAACACTGGGAGGTTGTGACTCGGTCCTCATATTAGGAGAGAGGGAGAGGGAGAGGATTAAAATACATCATAGGTCATTATCTGCACTTAGTATACTGAAAAGTTTAAAGAAACTGATACATGCATTGAGGATGAAGGTATAAGTATACATTTATGGGTTTATATAACTAAAACTCTTTAATCTCCCCTATAATAATTTCAAATATCAACTCACATGGGTTACAAGTTCAATAGAAAAGAGTTGTTATTCCAATTAATATTTGTATATTTTCAGGGACTCATGTAGATTTGGTAGAACTCAGACAAACTTAAGCATACAGGAAAATAAAAGTTTGTTATTTATGTAAAACAGGGATACACAAACACGAGCTTGTAAAACATAGACTATCCTAGCATTTCTAACTTTATTTTGGGATAAGCACTCCCAGGCATGTGTCTTCATGTGATTATGCCACATTGTTAATAAAAAAAAGTTAAATCTTAGAAATTGGTTTCCACCAATATAAAAACTAAATGATGAATCAGTCATTTTCTTACACTAGTAATTACCAATTTCAGCACTTCAGTTAACTTATTACACTATATGGCAACCAAGTCACACGACTCACACCTGAACTTGTTAAAATTAATAACAGTTGATGTCTGAACAGGAAAGGGATAGGTTAATTTAAGTTGTAATATGTAATATGATGAAGCATTGTGATATTTGAGCTGTATAGCAGTACTGAAACCTAACCTGAACATCTATGAAAAAATTTAGGATACGTACGCGCTACCTGCTTCAATGAAACGCTCAGCCATAATAGCATTTTGGCTTGTGAATTCACCAAACAGTGGAATTCTGAAACAAAAAGGACATGGGCATCCATAAAAGTCAATAAGGTAATATATGGAAGACTAACATACCACACAACTTAAAACATAATGTAAAGATTACACTAAGTCATCATGCTATTTAACCATTCAATTTTTTGACCTGTAAGAATGTATGACATAACATACCACACAACTTAAAACATAATGTAAAGATTACACTAAGTCATCATGCTATTTAACCATTCAACTTTTGACCTGTAAGGATGTATGACATAGATTCTACAAGACTATTACTAGTACTACTGTTGATAGGTTGTCTATTGTGACACACAAATACACACACATATATATGAAATGATAAATTAAAGAAACAAACAAAATGAATTTGGTTTAATTAAATTATTCTAATGAACTCATTTTCAGATATCATTAGAGGACAGCTGACCTTAGCTTCTGAAATAATCCAGGGAGCGAGGATGACACAGACAATGGACTATTAAGAATCACAAGCTTAGAAATCTTGTCTGAATTCTTTAAAGCCCATGTCAGTCCATAAGAACCCACAAGATATCCCTATATCATGAGAATGAAAGAGAACACTGTCACATGACATCATTTCTTATGTAACACTGTAAGTATGTCATAATAAGAATGAACAAATTTATGTGAACGAAAATTAGCATCAAATTTCTAAGAAGTAGAAATAACAATTTAGCAAGGTGGTACTTGAGAACCTGAGTCACTAGAATGAATGGAGATTTGATATTCAGAACATCTAGAAGCTTGCCAAATTCTACATGAAATTCCTCTTCTACAACAAAAAAAAATTAAGAAAATTAATAAATACCTAAAAATAGATAAACAAGGTAATGATGTCAAACCTAACAAACCTTCATATGAGAATCCATATCCTGGTTGAGGTTTATCGCTAAAACCGAATCCAATCCAATCAGGTGCAATACAGTGAAAGCCAGCATCTGACATCTGTTCAATGCAAAAACTGCTCAAGATACAAGAAGACTCCGAAAATGCACAACTGAAGTACATATATTTTTACAAATTTCATGGATCACGATCTGTCATGCCAAATAGAAGGGAGATGGGACCTATCTACATGACCTGTATATTTATAAAATTGGGGTCACATATAGGCAGAAAATCGTGAAGTGTGAAATGTAGTGACCATAATTTTGTCATGTAGTGACCACAGATTGTGTCGCTAGCTTATTGCTGAAAGTTGATTTAGAATAAAGAATGAGGTAGAGATTTGTTCATTTAACTTGCCTTCAAAGATGAAGCCAAGGAAACAAATAAGAAATATCACTTGATTATCATAAACCGTAGGTAAGAGTCAAATGGCAGTTTTCATGGTCAGTTTTTCAAATCAAGTTAAGCACCATGATAGATCCAAAGCACAAGTTTATATCAGATAAATAATGATGTCCCTGGAGAGGGGTAACAGTGAAGTTGACGTTCAAGAACAAATTGGTTGGTGTCCAATCTAGCTATGAGCAGAGTACAACACATGGTCAAGATTTTTCAGATTATGCCAAGTATTCTCAAGGTTTGATCCAGGGAACCGGAGGAGTTATCGACGACCCTCAAAATTCTTGGTGGGACCAATACAAGCTCAACCTACAAATTCCATAAGGGAAAGAACAGTAAATTGCACTTTGAATCGTTGTAGTTGACTCTTTATTATGGTGTCTTCTTCTTCGCTGGTGCTCCTGATATATTCATACAGTAGTTTTGAAGACGCGCCTTATCTACATACTGTGATTAATTAAGAAAAGGGCCACTATGCAAACCTGAGACATAAGTACTCGATAGCTATATGATTGAGTTGGAGCTCCATGAATAAATACGATGGTTTCCCTTTGACTGTCCAATGACCCTGAAACACCCCGACAGATGGGCATATAAGATGCAGTAAAGAGGATAGCAAATGCATTCACTAATCAAATATTGTTATTAGAAAAATTCACCATATTGAACTTATGTGCTCATCTGGACACTGAATTATCTCAAAGTTTTTCTACTTTTTCATTTGGACTAGACAATTAAACTGCTGGCTTACATAAATTCAAAAACGAAATCCCAACTGCTAGTAAAAAATTGCAAAATCAAGATCGAATGGTTTGTTCTCAGAACAAACTCCCAGGTTTTTTTTTTATGACAGTGAAACTCATGGCAAGATTGCATAAGCATGTTAATTATGTACAGATCTATGATGCAATCTCATATAAAGTAAACAGAAGAGAAACCAATCTAAGTGTAAAGTCATTTAGATGATGACACAAGGAAGAACTGATGTTTTACATATGCCCATGTAAATGGTTTAGATAAAAGGCACTAATAGCAATGCTAAAATTAAATGTTTGTCCTATAAAAAAAATATAATAAGTCAAAAAAGAAAACTTAGATCTTAGGATCATGATGTGCTTAAGGCTTTATTACTCATGCAAAGTAATCAGTTTTTGCATGTCACGGACAACAAATTACCTGTTTCTCTCACAAACCAACGAAGTCTTCCAGATTTGACATAAGAGCCATAATCCTTGCCCTTGTCTTCAATCCTCTATGCATGTAACATCAACATAGCAATAATCGATAAAATAATAAGAGGTCACCTCATATATCATCTAACACAGTAAAGTTTCAGACAAGGAAAATGTAAGCAGACATATATAAAGTATTAACAAAATAGAACCAAATGCAACATTTTGAATGACTCCATTTTTCTTATCAGATTATGAAGAATATGACTCTTCCCCCCATATATTAATCATTAATATGTATTATTTCCGACTAACTAAAAAAAATCGTAAGACCTCCAATTTTAGGAAAACTATTCAGTGAGTTGTCGACTGCTTAGATGGTGCGCCAATGGGGGAAGAAGCATTGTATCATTATATTAATCCTCGCACTAATCCAAAGATAGACAATCTTTTGTCCACCAGCCATGCGAAGGATATCGATCATCAGATAGTCTCTCGGCCAATCAGCCAACAACATTATTACACAAAAACCTGTAAATGTGTTTACGTTACCTCCTTTTATCCTTTCCGCTTTAATTATTGTGCACGCAGACCGGAAAGGAGAGGGGCTGTATGCAATCACCATCAGCCAATAACATTATTACATAAGAATTACAAATGTGCCGAAGTTAGCTCTTTTCATCCTTGCTGGTGTAATTCATGCGCGGATGTGTAATAGGGAGCGGCAAGGAGTTGTATTCACGTGCAGATGTTCTGAGTTTTCTAAAATTGTCTCAGAACAAAATGGAGAGACTAGTAACCACCCAGCTAAACATATGAAGTGAGACATGATTAAATAATAGTTCATTGTATTCAATTCAAAGATAGTTTCTGTAAGCACAGAGCATTGAGAGAAGCTGACAATTACTCTCATCATACTGGAGGTAAATACGCACAAGTACGTGGGTAAGCGATGTGGCTCCCCGGCACCCGAGCAATGCGGGACTAAATAAAGGAATAGGATATTCCCATACTCAACAAGTTTTTGTGATAGTTTTGTGCAAGACTGAAGTAGCTCATGCAAGTTTCTGTGAAGTCCACCCCTAACTAAATCCGCATCGCGGGAATCGCAAGACGATTGATTTTAAAACCGATTAGAAACGGAAATCAAAACAAACAAACAAATAAATCGATCAAGATTTGAGGAAAGGAGAGGTTTAATACGTAGAGCATTTGGCCAACATTTCCATCCTCCGCAGGAGATTCGGGAAGCTGTATAGCGCTCCGACTCGACGGGTTGTCGGTAACGAAGCCAAACGGGTTGAACGAAGGCTTGTCCTCCTCCCCCGCTCCACCGTCACTGCTGCTGCTGCTGACAACCACCGCTCCTCTCCTTCTCCCTGCTGACAACCCCCCGATATTTGGGCGCAGGCTTTTTCCGCTGAAGCTACCGGCAGGGATGGGAACTTTGAGAGAGGGAGAAGAGAGGAGGAGGGTGGAAGGGGCCATGGATTCTGTGGTGTGGGTGAGAGAGAGAGAGAGAGAGAGGATCTGGGGGTGAGGGAGGAATCAATTAAAATATGGATATTTGCGGCAGGCAACAGCGACCGTGGGGTACCCCAGTTGAGCGGTGGTGAATAACTTGACAGAACGCGTGAATATTCGGGCCACAAGGAGAATGCTTTTATGCAAACAAAATCTGTCCTTTCTAAGCCTTTTCCATTTTCCGCAAGAGAGTATGTTTTTTCAATGATTTTTTTCAACAACCCTACCATCATTTTAAATCACTTGCTTTATTAGAACATTTTCCTCCTTCATCTTGAAATTGATGACAAGACGGAAAGAGTTTAATCTTGTTAGCCTAATATATGATATCATATGAAAAAGCATAAAAGGCCTAGTGCTTACCGTGTATATTATAGTATATAACATCCAGACTTTTAATAATTTGCATTCACATCATTAGGGGATTATTCACTACAAGTCAGCAAGCACCAAAAAATGTGTTAAATGGAAAAGAGACGGCTTAAAACCATTAGAGTAAACGTCCAACGCACGGTTAAAAAGATAATCATCTTGCATCCTAAGACCACGCCTTTTATTTGATGAAAATACATGGTAGGACTGGTACAGACTGCACTTGAACTCCTAGAGAAAACCACACATTCTCCATACAAATAACATCTAAAACTTTTTTATGTACACAAACAACATGATGTGAAGTTTCAAAAGATTAATCTCTCTTCCACTGCCAGCTAACGGAAGACGGATACTTGCCACCAAAGTTTTTAAATTGAGGCCTCACTAAATTGCTTGAGTGGGGTCTTTGTGGAGGCCTGACATCAATCGGAACAAAGCCACGAGGGTGATATCCTGGAAAACTTTGTCTTTGTATTGATGGACGACTTTGTATTGGTGCGTTAAATGTTGTCATCGAACATTGAGTAGGAGTTAAAGGTAATTCTTCAACATTTTCTGATATCGGCCTGGAGACTGTTGGGAGAATTCTAGTACTGGGACTTGCTTTTGGTCCATCAAGATGCTCTAGGTCTGGGGGACACCACTCAGGCATATCATCGTCATCATCCCAACGACTCTTTTGTGAAATACTACTTGACAAGAAACCCTCATCGGATTTTCCAGGAAAGTGATGACTCGAAGATGGGGCATCTGCGGGCTTCTTCTCAGAATTCACCTCCCCAAATCCTGTAGGTATGGTGCTATTGGACCCTAGATATGTGTTCATACTTCTGCCTAAAGACACATTTTCATTCTTGAGAGAGCCAATTTGCTGATATTTTTGATGAACGGATCTTCGAAAGGTACTCATTGGTGCTTTTGGAACACCACAGGCAGAAGCAAAGTCAAATTCCGGTAGATCACCATCATCATCATCATCATCATCTAAATTCCCCGGCTTGTGGTGAACTTCACAAGCTCTGTCAGTTTCCTTTGGCTCTCCAGTAGGCATGAAAGAAGCCTCAGCTTTGGTCATTCCTTCTGTAGGAGCCTGCAGACATATTTGAGTCAGTTCATCTTGTTTTAACTAAGATAGGAGTTTCTGGATATATTATGCTCACCTTGTTTGCTTCACTGTTAAACTGGACAATTCTTTGAAGAACTTCTGAGGGCAGAGGTGGTGGTCTGGGGAGAGCGGGCTGTGCTAATTCTGGCTTTGCATTACTTTGAACTGTATTTTGTGAGGTTGGTATCTGAGCTCCGATGAATGTAAAATTCGAGGAGATTGAAGCACCGAGTTCTGGGCGAGGAACATAACTATTATGGTTTCTAAATTTTTGCGAGCCATCATTGGTCTGTGTGTTTGTTTGGTGTTGAGCTCCTGGCAGCATCATAGTTGCTCTTGAACGAACTGGTGCAACCAATTCTTTTGGCTCTACTGCTTGAGTTATAGGAATATCAGGATGTATCATAGTTTCTTGAGAAGAGTTTGATTCAAGTTTTTGTGCAGCAGGTGGTTGGACCTGAATCAGAGGAGAACTATATGGCCTTGAAGAATCGCTTATGATGCCTTTTGAGCTGTTAAGAGTAGCATTGAGAGGACTGAGAGCTTTCTCTTGCTTATTTTTCAAGTTATCAACCTGTGTGCTTGAAGAAGAAGTTTCTGGTAACTGGGTTTCTTTTTTCTCTGAGATTTTAGGGACTGGGTTTGACGAGGTGTGGCCTCTACGCCATATAACACACCCAATTAAAGAATCTTGATTATCCTCAACTGCGCCCATGCCCTTGAAGAAACCATGCTTTGCAAGAATTGTTATAATCGTATCATTACGAGGGCAGACATAGAGATCAAGACCTGGACAGATCTGTGCAAATCCAACTTTCTGACTCTGTATGTAACCTTTTGCAACCTGACATGAATATATGAAGTGCATAGAAGGAGTGAAGAGAACGTATTATACTAAATGGATGGTCATAATAGCCAAAAAATTTTGGTATGCCAATTGTGGCCTCACCTCCTTCATCCCTGCCAGTCCAGCTTCAGGTGATCCCGGCTTCCAGCAAAGAGAGATCACCTGACAGAAAAGATAACCAGTTTTGGTTATAAAAGTGCCCATTGTCCTTGTAGAAATACCAAGTTATTATAAATAAACTAGCAAGAATGCAGAATCTCAACATACTAGAGCAGTAATAAAACATATGGCATTAAATCATTGATCTACAAAAGTAAACCAAACATGGACAGTTAATGTCGTACGTGTTGGACTTGGGTGAAGAATCAAACCTCCGCAGGCGAGGTCGATGGTGAGCTCGAGCGCTCGTGCTTCAGGCGAGCGCGGGCGAGCTCCACTCCAGGCGAGGTCGATGGCGAGCTCGAGCGCTCGTGCTTCAGGCGAGCTCGAAAATTGGTTCAAGCGAGCTCGAGCTCGAGCGCTGCTGGCGAGCTTCAGTGACAGGCTGTCGCCAGCTTGTCGCTAGGGTTTCCCTATAAAAGGGAAACCCCAGGGCTTCTTCTCTCTCTCTCTCTCCTTACGTTTCCACCCCCTTAGCAGCGGCTCCCCCTTTCTTTTCTTCTTCTCTGTTTTTTCTCCAGCTCACGTTTTTGAGGGAGGAATTAAGAAGGGGGATTGAGGGGAAATTTATTTGAGGAAGAAATTAAATGGGGTATTTAAGAAGGGGATTTTGTTACTGTAGCTACAATAATAATTAGTATTTATTAAGAGATCTCAAGTTTGAGATCTGCTCTTGCATTGTAATTTCTTGTTGATTAATAAAAAAATTTATTGTGTGGCTCCCGAGAACATAGGCAAGTTTGTCAAACCTCGTAAATCTTGGTGTACTTTTCTCTATACTGTGTTTTTACTGTTTTAGGGGTGTACTTTTCTCTATACTGTGTTTTTGCTGTTTTAGGGGTTTAGTGTAGCCCCGGGTATTCCCCAACAACTGGTATCAGAGCCTGAAATGATTTAGAGAAAATCAGATTCAAGTGGGAGCGATGGCCGCAGATGAAGGAAAAGTGAGATTAAAGAAGTTTGATGGAACAGATTTCGGATTCTAGAAAATACAGATAGAGGATTATTTGTATCAGAAAAATCTGTATCAACCCCTCTTGGGGAAGAAGCTGGATTCTATGAAGGAAGATGAGTGGAACCTTCTAGACAGACAAGCCATCAGGGTTATCAGATTAACGTTGACTCGTAATGTTGCGTTTAATATTGCGAAGGAAAAGATCACGACGGGTCTTATGACAACACTCTCAAATATGTATGAGAATCCATCAGTCGCGAACAAAGTTTATTTGATGCGGCGGTTATTCAATCTGAGAATGCCGGAAGGCGCGTCAGTAACACAACACCTCAATGAACTCAATACGGTCACAACCCAATTGAGTTCAGTTAAAATTGAGTTTGATGAGGAAGTTCGAGCGTTGATTCTTTTGTCTTCCCTATCAGAAAACTAGAACGCTACAGTCACAGCTGTGAGTAGCTCATCGGGAAGCAACAAGTTGAAGTTCTACTACGTTCGTGATCTGGTTTTCAGTGAGGAGATCCGACGGAGAGAGTCGGGTGAAGCTACAACCTCTTCAGTATTGCATACAGAGTCAAGAGGTAGAAATTCAACCAGAAGGAACGGACGAGGCAAATCAAACTACAAAGGTAAATCAAATGACAGGAGGTCCAAATCCAGGAATCCAAGCAACAACTCGAAGGCTATCGAGTATTGGAATTGTGAAAAAACCGGACATTACAAGAATCAGTACAAGAGTGCATAGAAGGAGAAGGAGGCGAAGGCAGAGGTCAATGTCACTTCCACCTCAGGAAGAGACGACGCATTAATATGCTCTTTGGAAAGCAAGGAGGAATCTTGGGTGTTAGATTCAGGAGCGTCGTTCCATGCTACTTCTCAGAAAGAATTCTTCGAGAAGTATGTTCTCGAAAATCTTGGATACGTATACCTTGGTGATGATTAACTGTGTGCTATTGTGGGCAAAGGTGTAGTGAAAATTAAGTTGAACGGGTCAATATGGGAGCTGAAGGATGTCAGGCATATTCTCGACCTAAGAAAGAACTTAATATCCGTAGGTCAGTTAGCTGATGAAGGATACACTACGACCTTCCATGGAGATGATTGGAAGATCTCAAAGGGCGTAATGACGATTGCCCAAGATAAGAAGATTGGTACCCTGTATATGACAGTAGGTACACGTTATTTGATCTCAGTTACAGCAAGCAATGAGACTTCAAAACTGTGGCACTAGAGACTCGGTCATATGAGTGAGAAGGGGATGAAGATCATGCACACAAAGAAAAAACTCCCAGGTCTAGAATCAGTTGATTTAGATGTGTGAAGAATACATACTTGGAAAGCAAAAGAGAGTCAGCTTTCAGACAAGTGGCAGAACCCTTAGGAAAGAGAAACTAAAGCTCATTCACTCAGATGTTTAAGGACCAACCACCATCGCGTCCATTGGTAGTAAACACTACTTCGTGACTTTTAACGATAATCACTCTCAGAAAGTGTGAGTCCACTTTCTGAAGCATAAGTCAGAAGTATTTGAAGTTTTCAGGAGATGAAAAGCTATGGTCGAGAATGAGACCGATCTGAGAATAAAGAAACTCGGGCTGACAATGATGGTGAATATGAGGACACCGAATTCAAGAAATTCTATTCTATGAGCACGAGATCAGAATGGAGAGAACCGTACCCGGCACGCCTCAGCACAATGGTATAGCTGAGCGGATGAACAGAACGTTGACAGAGAGAGCCAAAAGCATTCGGATACAGTCAGGCCTACCGAAGCAGTTCTGGACAGAAGCAGTCAACACAGCAGCTTACTTGATCAACCGAGGTCTATCGGTTCAATTAGAGTACAGAATACCAGAGGAGGTATGGTGCGGAAAGGATGTAAAACTCTCATATCTCAAAGTTTTCGGTTGTGTAGCTTATGTGCATATTAGTGATCAAGGCAGGAATAAACTTGATCCTAAGTCCAAGAAATGCACTTTCATCGGCTATGATGAAGATGAGTTCGGCTACCGCATTTGGGACAATGAAAATAAGAACGTGATCCGCAGCAGAGATGTGATATTCAACGAGAAGGTGATGTACAAGGACATGCACAAGACAGATGACTCAGAGAGCGAGTCAACATTTGTAGATGCAGATGATGTCCTGAGTAACCTCAGAAGAACCCAATGTAGAAGGTTCTCAGCCAGAAAAGCTTGTTAGACAGAACGGTGCGCAGGATGGTTCTAGAAGATATAAAACCCGGTTAGTTGTCAAATGATTCCAACAGAAAGAAGGAATTGACTACACCGATATTTTTGCTCCTGTGGTGAAGCTCAATACTACCAGAACAGTGATGGGTATTGTAGCAATTGAAGATCTTTATCTCGATCAGTTGGACGTGAAGACGGTGTTTCTTCACTGAGATCTAGAAGAGGAGATATATATGCACCAGTCAGAAGATTTCTCAAAAAAAAAGAAAAACCCGGTGTGCAGACTTAAGAAGAGCTTGTATGGCCTGAAACAAACAGAAGAGCTTACATGGCCTGAAACAAGTCCCGAGGCAGTGGTACAAGAAGTTTGGCGGCTTCATGCACAATAAAGGTTTCCAGAAGTGCAACACCGATCACTGTTGCTATTTCAAAAGATATTAGTCTAGTTATATCATCTTTTTGTTATATGTTGATGATATGTTGGTTGTAGGTATAGATATGGAGGATATCATGACTTTGAAGCAGCAGTTGTCAAAGGAGTTTGACATGAAAGACTTGGGTCCGGCAAAGAAGATCCTTGAAATACAAATCACGAGAGATAAGAAGAAAAGTCTCTTGAAGTTATCTCAGACGGAGTACATCAACCGTGTTTTGCAGAGATTCAATATGGACGATGCCAAGCCAGTGAGCACACCTTTGTCCAGCCATTTCCGCCTATCAAATGATCAGTCTCCTCAGTCAGATGAAGAGAAAGAGGGTATGGCTAAGGTTCCTTACGCCTTAGCCATTGGAAGCTTGATGTACGTAATGATCTGTACGAGACCAGACATTGGCCATGCAGTGGGAGTGATCAGCCGGTTTATGTCGAATCCAGGAAAAGCTCATTGGGAAGCTGTCAAGTAGATTATGAGATATCTACGAGGCACCACACGTAAATGTTTGCACTTTGGTAAGAGAGGTGGAAGTGCAAGGATACATAAATGCGAACTTCAGAGGTGAAATCGATCACCGAAGAAGCACCACCAGCTATGTATTCAGTGTCGAAACTACAGCTGTTAGTTGGATATCACAGATACAAAAGATTATCACTTTATCCACTACAAAAGCTGGGTATGTAGCAGTGACTGAAGCCAGCAAAGAGATGATATGACTTCAGGATTTGTTAACAGAGCTGGGATTCAATCAAGAGAGGAATGTCTTGCACAATGATAGTCAGAGTGCGATACACTTGGCTAAGAATTCCGTATTTCATTCTAGAACAAAGCATATTGGGCTTAGGTACCACTTCATCAGATCCATGTTAGAAGATGACGTGTTGAAACTAGAGAAGATTCCAGAAAGTAAGAATCCAACAGATATGTTAATAAAGATGGTAACCATTCAAAAACTGGAGTTGTGCGCAACTTTAGTTGGCCTTCATGCATAGGTGATGAGGACGGAGTCACACAGGAGATTATGCTTCTTGAGATAGTCTGTTGACGACGGTTTGTTCTCCAAGTGGGAGATTGTTGGATTTGAGTGAAGAATCAAACCTCCACAGGTGAGGTCGATGGCGAGCTCGAGCGCTCATGCTTCAGGTGAGCGTGGGCGAGCTCCACTCCAGGCGAGGTCGAGGTGATTTTGGCTTGTTGTAGGCGAGCTCAAGAATTAGTTCAGCACTGTAGGCGAGCTTCGACGACAGGCTGTTGCCAGCCTGTCGCTAGGGTTTCCCTATAAAAGGGAAACTTCTCCTCTCTCCTCGCGTTTCCACCCCCTTAGCGACGGCTACCCCTTTCTTCTCTTCTTCTCTGTTTTTTCTCCAGTTCACGTTTTTGAGGAAGGAATTAAGAAGAGGGAATTTATTGAGGGGAAATTTATTTGAGGGAGAAATTAAAGGAGGTATTTAAGAAGGGGATCTTATTATTATAGCTACAGTAATAATTAGCGTTTATAAAGAGATCTCAAGTTTGAGATCTGCTCTTGCATTATAATTTCTTGTTGATTAATAAAGAAATTTATTGTGTGACTCCCGAAGACGTAGGCAAGTTTGCCGAACCTCGTAAATCTTGGTATACTTTCTCTATACTGCGTTTCTGCTGTTTTAAGGGTTTAGTGTAGCCCCGGGTATTCCCTAACAGTATGAAGAGTTATAAAAAGTTTACATTAAAAGAAACATTTGTATTACTCTAAAAATATTAAGTAATGCTTATGACTTCAAAAGTATAGACAATAAAAGAGCCAGACAAATTAATTGCAACATATAATTATTCTTTAGGATTACTAAAAGCAGTTTACCAATGCGTGATGTGTAATAAAATGACAAATTTAGTAATAAAAAAAATCTCACCATCAATGCACGATTCCGAGAGCGAGGAAGCTCTTGAATAAATTTTTCAAATGCTTGAAGCCTTACTTTTCCTTTGACTTCAACATGTTCAGGCCATTTGGTATCTTGAGCTTTCTCCCCACTGAAAAGAAAAAAAGTACATTAACAGGAAAGAATTTCAGAACCTATAAAAGCAAGCAGACAATAGTAAACACCTAAGACTATACTGCCTGCTGAATCAAGAATTGCTTAATTATAAGAAAGAATAAATAAAGGGGAAAGAAGAAATTGATGATTTAAGGAATTGGAGCAATCTCCTGGGTTAGCCGACCCCAAAAGTTTACGGTAACTGCTTTTGTTGTTGGTAGTGTAGTTAGCAACTTCTGAGGGCAAAATTTTGGGATAAAGGGTCGGAGCAGCTAGCAAGTCTAGGGTACAATGAAGGCCTCAGCCAAAGTGATTACCATAGAATTGCATTCAAATTTAATATCAAAATGGCATAAATTTTCTACTAATGTGGCAGATTGCTTGAGAGAATAAATGGATGCTTGAGAGAATAATGTCTCAACTGCCATACGACATGGCGGGTAATGTGACAGATTGCTTGAGAGAATAAATGGATGCTAAATGGGCAGATCATAAATGGGCAGGTATTTTTGTGGTCATTTAGCTAAACAACTTTAGCTAAATGGGCTACTACCTCACTTGAGTCATCAAAACCTTAACTAATTCAGAGGGGCTCGACTGGCCCTGTTGCCCTACACTATTGGGTGCTTCCAAAGGCGAAGCTCTCATTGACGACCTTTCATTTTGAAGCAGGAGTGGCTTTTTTCTCTAAAGGCGAAGGCTCTAGGTTCAACAAGTGAATACACTGGGCTCTGGCTCCACATACCTGCGTACACCTTCCAAAGCACTTTCATGAGTGAACTGAAATCCTGTTGCGTCACTCATTCCTTTCTCATTTCAGTGCTCACCTTTTCCTCAGTAGGGTATTTATTTGATTAGACTAGGGGTCGCGAGCGTACTGCCCTACCATAGTCACGAGGATCTTTAAAGTTGGTCGCAATTTTGTCACAGTCAACCCTGGTTGAAACTTCCATGGAAAAAACTTTGAATTAGGAGGGCAATCATCCCTGTGAACTGACCCTCCCCAAACCGACACATATGGACAGTCGTGTGCCCATTAAATACAACATTCTTCTTTCCCATCCAACCTATCATTGCTAAAGACAATATACGATTGAGTTGTAGATGGCCTTTAATCCACAATGTTTCACATGCTAACGTTTACCGGCATCAGCAAAATAATGTGTTGAGAAATAAGGGTGTTATGCTCAGTAAAAAGAAATGGTAAACAATTAGAATAGTCTCGGGCATTAATTAATTGACAATAATATAATTGGCATGGATAATGAAAATTAGTAAAACAGTACAACATATAGTTCTACGTCAAATATCTTATTCACGTTAACCTCAAATAATAAACTTTTCTTTTTGAATGACAAGTCTTACAAGATCAAATTCATTACAACACAAAGCGGCACCTCCAAAGCTTCGTTCTTGTATATCTAAACCTTTTCTTGCTAAAATTTCTGCCAATTGATTGGTCTCACAGCCTTCTCGTGATAACTTCACCACTTCAAAATTCGTGTAAGAGTTCATAAAGCATAACTGTATAGTAGAACAGTATAATACAACAACATAAAGAAAATTTAGTAGCTCAGATCAACACCATTAGACAAGTAGCAAAAGAACTAGTGCAAGAAGTGTGAAATAAATTCATCTCCATAAGGAATTGCAAAAAGAAATATACATAGTGAAAAAGAGAAAAAATGAGAGGGAAAATACCAAATGAGGAAAAAAACATCTGAATCAATTTTGTGTTTAGATTCAAAAATATAAGTATTACTAAAATTATGCACCAACAAATTTCCTTTTCCAATATCTACCAAAGCTGCATTCAGATCATAGGAAATAACAATATTAATCTACTGTAAGACAAACATATGCTCGATAATTATAAGTATACAAAGTAATAAGAAAAAAACATAACTAACTTCTAAGAATCTCATTTAGCCAAGAACCAGTATATATTTGAGCTTCAGCTTCTTCGAAAGGAGGAGGTTACAATATCTATTAAGCATTCAAACTGCAGTATTGAATAAAGATTCAACAGCCACGCAAGTGATGGGGGTAATTAATGTATAACGAACCATGATTGACAATTTAGGACATATCTATATTATCTTATCCAGTAATCGAGAGTGCTCAAATTCTCATATTTCTTCCAACTAAGCAACTTTTCATTTAAAATTTTAAATATTATTCACTTTAGACTTGGACCTGCTAACTCAAAAGACTTGGCTCACAAACTAGTCAAACTCGAACATTAAATCATTAAGAACATGTCTACAGGCTCTTCACAACTGCTATAAGATATGCAAGTCTAGCTGGATGCTTGCTCATATTATTTATAAGTTCACTTGACTCCTCCAAAATGGTCAACAGATAAAATATTTGCTCCCCCATGTCTAAGAAAATTGGTATTGGTTCTAAATACTTGTTGAGAATTTTGAAGATGTTGCTCAGGCTTTATAAAGTATATGAACAAGCATCCAGTGATACATATATAGCTTAAAGTAGTTGTGAAGAAGCCTTTGAACATGTTTCTATTGATGAAATGTTGGAGTTTGAGCAGTTTAAGAGTCAACTTTTTCCAAACAACACGGCCAAGTCATGATTTGAAGAATATTTAGATGAAAAGCTTATCAGTTGGACGAAAAATGAGAACTTGAATATTCTCAAGTATTCGGAAGAAGAATATGAGAAGCATCCTCAATCGCCAATAATAGCTAATGATACATGAACCATCCGCATTAACTTAGTGACTTCTAACTCCTTATTCAACATTGTTGTTTAAAGTGCTTAACCAATATCGTAATTTCCTTCTTATAGAGGAGCAGAAGCTCAAATATATATTGGATCCTGGCTAGATGGGCTTTCTCGTAAGCATCTTCCATATTTTCTTCTTTGTATATCTATATTATCAAGTATATGTTTATCTCAAAGTAGATTAATGTTATCATCTCCAAGGATCTAAAGTGTAGGTTTGGCAAATATTTAAGGATATTCGTTGGTGCATGAATTTAATAGTCTCCATATTTTTGAATATGTAAGGGAAATTGATTAGATGGTTTATGGTATCGTCTCTCTTCATTTTATCTTTTTCACTGTATATTTTGAATGCATATTTTTTATGAAGCAGAATATTTTTTACTTCTTGTACTAAATTCTAGTTGCTACTATGCTATGAGTGTCGATCTAATCTACTGACATTTCTTCATCTTGTTTTATTATACTGTTTTTTTTACTTTTAGGATTTCTAGCAAAAATTTTGAAGTGGTTGAAGCTGCCAAAAGAATGCTCAAGGCTGTAGGTCTAATCTGGCCGATGTTTTTTTTAAATTGTTTAGATACAAGAGTATTAGATGGAGATTTAAGGAGTCCAAGTTTTTTGTAACCAACAACCCACATCTTTTTGCAAAAGTTCGATTTTGGAAGGAATTGTTTGTTTGAATTGCTCAAAAAGGAATTTTGAGTCTTTTTTTTAAGTTATTTCCAAAAAATATATGAATGCAGAGCTACATCATATACAATTTTATTAGTGTTCGCTATCCTTCCCATTTATTTCATCGATCAATTAATAATTAAGAATGTTCTAGTTTGTTACCATCTTTCTCAAGCATGACAACTTTTCACAGGACTAGACATTGATCTGCCTATGTTGTTGAACATTAGCATATGAAACATTATAGATATAATAGCATACAGCTATGTATTGTCATTAACAATGTAGATGGGTCCAAGACAAAGAATGTTGCATTTAAATCGGTATATGACCCATTTAACAAATGCTAAATTGGTCATAAATATATCTACCCATTTTAACCTCTCTGTTTAACATCCTACTACTATTTCCCTAAATCTCATAAGTTAATCCAAATCAATCCTCATGGTAAGTTGTTGCTTGTGTTTGTACGATAGATAGTTAAACTTAACATTTTGACATGATCTTCTAGTTATACCCTATAGGTTAACATCCAAACTTATACTTCCATCACCCAATCTCGACCCAAATCTAGTATAGACCAAACCTAAAATCCAAAACTTATTTCTTCTTTGTCAGTTTTTTCAATAACTCTTAATCCTTTAAAATCTCTCCTTATTTACTCCTCTCATATCTTGATGAGACCTCCACAATTTATTATCCATGCAACACATATTGTAATAATAATGAAGGATAGCCTAATGTGAAAATTTGAAGGAAATGTTTGCCTTGGCCTAGTAGGAGGATAGGAAGAGGAGAAGAGAAGTTAATAAAAGAGAATGTTTGAGGTGAATTCTAACTCTTATTCTTTTAATTGTAGGAAGACATAGTTCTAAGGTTATTATTGGGAATCTAGGGTATAATTAATATAATTGAGAAATTATGATAAGGTGCAATGACTTATTACGTAGATGTATTAATAGACTGAGGTTAATAATTATCTGCATGTTTGTACAAAGGAAAGCTTAGGAGTTAGAAGTAGTTTCCAAAGAGTCGCAAAGAACATGAAATTATGAATGATTTGTAAGTGGTGTATGCATATTCTTTAACTAGTAATAAGTATGTTTCTAATGTTGAAATGTTCTTACTATGTTTTTCACAATTATACAAATAGGGACCGATTTATACTATTAGGAGTGCAGTTGCACCCCAAACAATTTGGAATTTCCTTTCAATCCTTTTCAATTTACAATTTGTCCCCCTCGGTTTTAAAATATTTGCTCCTAACCCTTACTTATATAATCATTGAACAATTAGAAATTCAATTGAATTTAACTTATTTAAGTAAATCATTAGTGAAAATAATCACTTTTCTTTATCTATCAGATTACAAGTGAAAAATGATGCAATGAAGCTGATAAGCCTACTAAGTTGCATTCCCATCAGGTACTATGGTTTAATAATATTATAAGTTTTTCTTCGAATAAATATATACTTTGAGTCCGACCCCAAGAAAAATTTTCTAGACCCGCTGTTGTATACAAGTATGGAATTTTATATTGAAGATATCATTTAAGATATTCCTAGTTCGTTGCAAGCATAGGTTGATTCCATTTTATCTTGGTATTTTTGACATTTGATTTGTAGTTATCGGCTATACATGACAAATAGATTGCTAAATGGTACTTAACTCATATTGCTACATATATTGCATCATTCTTCAATTAATTAATGGTGTACACTATGAAATTACCTAATTAAGTAAATCATAGGTCTATTACAGGGATGACATGCAAAGCATCCATAAGCAGCTAGACCAATGAATTGTCATTGTAGAAAGTATGCTTGAGATGTTATGGGGCAATTGCCGTTGTAGGTAGCTTAGACCAAACAAAATATCGTTTTAGACGCTTTGGTTGAAAT